GCCTGCCGTCCGTCAGTTCGTGCGTATTTGTACCGATCGCCAACCTGAGCGGACCTAGGGAAAACCGTGAGACTGAATGGAGATTTTCCGATCAGAACTGGCGCGCTGAAACGTTGAACGGAACACCGCTTTCCGGTCTGATTCCTAGCGAACCGGCTGCAATCTCTCGTCCTTCGATCAAGGAATCCGCGTATCGTGAATCGAGACCGGCCTAAAGTGGATTCGATCGTGACAGTGATAGCACCAAAGTCGGCGCGCGTCGTCCATCGACTGTCCATCGCGTCGGTTTTTCTGGAGCACACCTATCGCGAGTCCTGGCTACCTAAACGAGCAGCCGAGCTAAGCAGGCCCGTCCTATGGCCTCGATCGGCGAGCGTAGCCGCCCGCACGTATAAAAACGGCGCGGCGCGACGCGTCCGTAGGATCGAGACACTACTCTCGCGAGTCACGCCTACGCGCTTGTTTGCCGCTCGCGAGCAGAGGAGAGACGAGCTAAGATGGAATAAGAAAGAGCGAAACGCGTTTAACGCGCGTGTATATACACGTACACGCTCGCGAGGAGTATACGCGGCGCGAGTCGTACAGGTGTACGTTTCACGAATGCGCGCGTAGGCTCGTTTACTTAGCCAATGCCATACCTGAGTTATTTATCTGTCTTTTGCCCGGCAGCGCCAACCGAGAATGCCTCTATATGCGAGGCAACACTCCTATAGAGCCCGAGCGCGTGGGTCCGGAGCTGTTCAAGGCCTACCTGCTTGCGTTGCTTCGCTCTCTCTCGCTCAGTCTTTACTATCTTTCTCTAGTCGTAGCTACGCAACATCGGACACGCGTCGTGAGAAACCACTGTGGCAACCGAGCCAGAAAAATTCGCAAAGATCTTGTATCAACCTCCAAAATGTCTAAGTGGAAACTCTCGAGATGAGAAACGACGATTCTACTTGAAACTGACGAACTGAAATCGCGATGAATCGAGATTGAACGTCAGGTCCCAGATTCGAGCTCGGAATCGGAGTGGACGATGAAAAGCAGGCGAAACTTGGTATTGTCCTCGATAAGAGGTAGTAGGAGACGCGGTTGGGCGTCGATCGGAGGCCACGAGAGGAAATCGTAGCCGGTGGAACGTCGTCGTTCGCGAGAGGTGTGGGTATACCTAAAGGATGGACGAGTACGTGGCTCGACGAGCTCTCCGTAGCCGGATTGTCAAGTGACGTCAGCGCACCGGAAATGGAATGTAGGTAGCTGTGCTTATTAAGCTTCGCTGGCTGGTCGGTGGAGGAAGAGACACACGGGGGGCGATAGAGAAAGAGAAAGAGACGGAGAGGAAGAACCGCGAGGAGCGAACGCGAGAGAGAGAGAGAGAGAGAGAGAGAGAGAAAGAGACGAGGACGAGATTCAATTGTTTCCTCCGCACACGCGTGCCGCGCGGAGTGCCGCGTATATATTCGTCGACGTCGCGCCGTCGACGTTCCCTCTCGCGTGTATACACGTTCGCGAACGGACGTATATTCCTGCGCATCCGTTCGTACGCGAACGGGAGAATCGGCGATCCCAGTGTGGGCATCGGTTATTAAATCAATGCTGTCAGGATCTTTTCACGCCTCGCTAATGCGTTCCTGGAATGTCAACGAGCATCGCTCGCGGAAACTCGATGGATCCGAGAGAAGAACGCCATAACGACCGATCGACCGATTACGAAGCGGCTATAAATTAGACATTCGCGTTTCCACTGGCAATAATGTAATCGGAAACGATAGGAAACTAATTGGCGTTGACGGCAAGAATTCGTGAAAGGTGTTTCCCAGGTATAATTGCGGTGTTCCGGTTAAGGTCGCGTTACGCGAGCCACGCCAGGTTGCACTTTTATCCCGTTTCCAACGACGCAATGTACGCATGAGTCGAGGAATGTCAATCAACCGATTAGCCTGGCGCCGTAAGTCATCCGGGTGAAAAAAGAAACCTGTTGGGAAGGACGTGATTTCAAAAGCGGAGGTATCATTGAGTCTCTGTCCATCGAGGAGCGCATCTGATCGGAGCACGGGGGAAAAAACAATTGAATAATCGATTGAATAATCCCGTGGTACGTATTCCCTGTATCGGAAAAGCCTTATCGATGGCTAAGCTTGGACGTAACGCGAATCGCGGAGCACGTACGCGATCCTGTTGTACGCAGACGTCACGGTGTATACGCCTATAACGATAATTCGGGTAGGTGTGAACGAAGCGTGGCGAGAGACGAGAACGGAGGGGTGGCGAAATTCGAAGGAGAAACGAAGAGGAAACAAGGAAACCGAGAGCGCATGTCTTGCCACTTCCGAAGGGGTAGCCGGCCGGCGCCTGCGCTCGCTGCTCTCTTCTCACCCTTTTCTTCTTCTACACCCCCACTCTCACTTTTCCTCCACCCTCTTCCATCCCGTCCAGCTTACTTTCTATTTCTCTTTCAGTCCCCGTGCTTTTATTTCATTCCGCTTTTCCGCGATTTCCCTTTTGACCCTTCTTCCTCTATCCGTCTTCTTCTCACCGTCTGTCAGTGTCGCCGCAATCCACGCTTGTCACCCCCGTTCGAACCTCACCGCCTCATTATTCGCGCGCGTCACGCACCGACGAGGTGAAACCATCCGACGACGACGATTCTCTCTACTCGTCACCTGGTTTCGCGCCTTTTCCTTTTGCCGATCGGCCACGCGCGCCACAGATATTACGCAAACCCATGGGTTCACGGGTTAAGGATAGAAATTAATCGCGGCGCGATCTCGTTAAGAGAGTCCTCTCCACCTTGACGACCGGTTGGTCGAGTCTGTTGCTCGTTATGTCAGTCGCGAGCCTGACAAAAATTACGTCGCCAGCGATTTACGCCAGCGTCGGCAGATCCTAGAATCGATAGGGAAACATTCGTCGGATTGAAACCTGTTTCTAAAATTGATTTAACGGTTACCCGTCCCGGTCTCGCCGATTCCCCTTAAACACCCGAACAAAGAGTAGCTCACACTTGCGGACTGTTCATCGTTACCTGGAATTACGGATTTTATGCATTTATAGGCGCTTGCACATTATAATATTTAAACGACGTCAGAAATGATTATCGACAATGCAGTTTTTAAACTGATACCTTGAACGTTTTGATTTGCATACCTCGTGAATGTACCAATTAAAGACGATTGAACTCGTGTAAATGCACGGGAACCGGAAGCACGATTTTATCTCCTGACGTATGATAAAACCTCGATTAACCGGTTTAATTAGGGGACAAATTTCTCGACTAAAATAATGACAAGCACCGATAAATAACTCCAATTCCTAACGTAAGTGATACTCTTCGCGCCTCGACGAATCGGATTCTTCTAAATAATAGAGCCGGGGGATCATTATAGCTCTCGGGCAGAGTGTTAGTAAATCTGGCAAACAGGCAATCTGGTTTGTCTACGCGAGAAACGGCTGGATTACTAGCTGTCGGGCTATCGACAGCCGATTATTAATATTACCGTCCGGCCAAGTAGCTGAAAGATATCGTAACGTGACACCTTTCAGCGAAGCCTCCCCTTTGAAAGGATCATGATCCATCAGAATTTATCACTCGTTTTATCATGATTACACAAGCAATTTTTGAGTACTTTACGTTTCTTACATTATAATAGAACTAGGAAACTCTTTTTTTAAAGGATTATCTTCTCGTTCTTTGTGAACGTCAAGGGGTGAGAAAAGAGTCTCTCTTCTTTCCTTTGGAAAGATTGATTTGTTTTTGAACGAAAGGGAAGCGTGCGAGTGGAATCAACGAACTGTGAAAAGAGCACGACGGGACGCATACTAACTGGGCCGAAATTTGCTAAACACTAGGACGCGTTTCGAATATAACGATTGGTTACGTCCGGTTACAAAGTATACGTCACGGTTTAACCCTGAACCGTTCCACGTTGCTTCTTATCGATAATTTCGACAATGATCGTATCGAAATCGCAGCTGTGCAAAGTGGATCGAAGGAAGTTGCGCAAGAATCGAATTCCCGGTGTAACAACGATCCGCTTCCGAGCCGCGAGTAAAAATTGGACCAGCCGGAATCTACCTCCAATTATTTCGCGGCAGCGGCGCGCGGCGGATTGGAATCGTGGCTTGCCCTGGGATTGGAATCGGTAACATCGTCGTTGAAACCGGGTAACGCAATTATATGGAATCTCGTTTCGCCGAGGAGCAATCCGAAATTTTCAGGGATCGAATTAATTGGACGCTCCTAGAGAAGAAGCAACCTTATTTGCTTTCCCCTCCTCGCGTTTTAAATGAAAACCTTGTTACGTTAAGTTGAATCCGTAGGCATTTAAAACTATTCATTACTCATCGATTTCATTATACAGTCTGACGGAAACGTATTTTGATTCGTCAAAATACATGGATGCATTTACTTATTCAATGATCTTGACACGCAGCATGTTTTACTAAGCAGGTTATTTTGTGTGACGCTTGTTATCGATTCATTCTGCATAGTGAAAATATCTGTGGAATGTAGGAATTAATGCCCGCTGAAAAGCGTATTCAGAAAATCTGATAGAATATTTAGAGAAATTTTGATCGTTCGACAAACTGAGGATCGCGTGCTAGGAATCAATTTCTTTTTTCACTAGTTACGTCACGTGGAAGGAATGAAATCGGTGCTCGAGGGGGAGAGTCTTTGTTACGTTGCACCGGTCGAACCTTTTTCTTGTCTAATTATCCACTTGTCGCGTCACCTACCGCGATGATTAACGGTTGCGCGTTCTATTATCCCTGCGATATAACTAATAATTGAAACGAGAAGGATGTGCTTGTTTCGAAATAGGACTCTGCGACTTTGTAGGAAATATGTCAGCTCCGTCGATCGCGTCGACGACACGGTGATCCACGTCGGTGACCGAGTCTAATAAGATTGGAATCGGAGTATTGTGTAAACAATATTGGGAATCGTTACGATTTATCCTATTATCTTGTCGCTATTTCAGGTGAGAGTGTTTGCAAAGCAAAAAAAAAACGGCAAATACGTTGTATTACTTTCATATGTCGTTTATTAATTAAAATTCAGTAGTAATTTAGTTTCTGCCTTTCTAACAAAACGTCACCACCATTCGCCAAATCGTATTTTTTTACTCATTTTACGTTAATAATAATTAATATTTAATTATAATAATATACAGGGAGAATCAGAAGTTGTTTACAGATTTTTGCGCGAGCTCGGCTTTCTTTTTCGTTTCGATTCTGCGTGCACATACGTACGAAACGTCTATAAGTATCTTTACATGCCTCTTCGTTTTTCTCACTCACCCTGTCACCCTTTCAGTCTCCTTTACACATGTACACTCAACGCCGCTCCCACTCGCAGTTTTTTTCGTACCGCGCATCATCAGATTTTTCACCTGCGTCGCTGAAAACTCAGCCGGGGAATCGAGGAGCCCGATGACGCTCGCGGAATTGGAAATTTGACGATAAGAACTTTTGCAACGCTCGGATTTTTCACTGATCAAACACAAATCGGACCATACGGGCTAATCGTGCTCCTCGATTCCGACGCATTTTCTACCAAGGTATCGATCCTTTCTCTCCTCCTCCCTCTCCCACGTTCAATCGATTCTCTCTCGCATCTATTTACAAAACGAAACTCTCTCTCTCTCTCTTTTTCTCCCCCTCTGTCTCTCTATTTACAAAATTGAACGTAACGCCTCGCGTATCCTGTCGCAGTTTAATTCGTTGCACCAATAATAAAATCGGACTTAGACGATGCTAGTCCGAAGCCAAGATCTTCCCGCGAGATCGTGGGCGAGAGGATACGCGACTCCGAACGGACAATAAAATTAACAAAACAACCTATACACGATTTCGTTGGCTCAACAAATCGTCCTCGCTCTCCCTTTCTCTTTCCACGCGTTATCCAATCGACACCCTTCCGTTCCCTCTTTCCCGGTTTCATTAAAATAACAAAAACTAAAGAACCCGGTCGTCGACGAATATTTATCAGAAACTCGTTACCAAAAAAGTTTCGCTGGGATTAACACGCGTCGAGTGGCGACGATTCGTTAACAGTAACAACGCGTTTCTCTTTCTCTCTTTCCACGCGGCTAACAGCGTTTTCCTCGAACAGTGAAATGGCAGCGCAAAATTGGCCCGTGCTTCTTCTAGTCTCTTTCGTTTCTTCGGAAACGCGATTCGTCGCGTTCATATCGAAATCGCGGCCTCGTGGAGCTGCGACGTCGATGCGAGACCGGAGACTCGCTGGATAAAGCGCCGGCACTCGAGCCAGTTGAGCAAATAATCACAGAAACCGTGTCAACCGTTAACACGCGTAATCCCGACCACGAAACGTCGACATCGCGAGCCCTAATGATGCCGTATATCTCGCGCGGCTGAAAAATCAGTCCAAGGGATTTCAGATTTTTGGAAGGAACGCCTTAACGAGAAACAAAGTACAGTCGTGCGTAACGTATCATTAGAAGGGAACTATCAGAACTGTAGCGATTCGTCTACAATCGGCCACCCTGTATTCGAGATTCGCCACCCCTAAACATCGGCTATAAGCTTAACGAGGTAGCTTTATGATTTTTTAACTGTTGCCTACAAGCAAATTGGGGAAACCAACTCGTGTCGTCTCTGAATTCGAAACATGTATCCCTGGGAAGTATCGTGAGGGTGGTCCAACCCTCGAACATCCTGACACGAGGTTCTACCATTGAATTTTAGAGACCAACGTTAATTACGAGGGAACGTACGACGCGAATGCTCCTTTCAAGGCAAAGAGCTCGGGTAAGGAAGATACGTGATTTTTGAAAAAGAGGAGAGCATCGATCGAGTCGCGGTCGGAATTCGTAAAATTATCGGGAATTTCCCGAACGATCACCGTCTACTTTTTCCCACAATGTCGCGACGACGTCCTAATCCTAATATTTACAGCCAATCGAGAGAATGGAGGGAAAAAGTGACGAGGTCCGCCATCGCGACGCCGAGGGGAAATACGTATCGTAAAAATTTCAGACGGACCGTCTGTCGTAGCTAATCGCAGAGCGAGAGTCTTTGTACGTACAGTCGCATTACTTAAAAACAGCCGACGATTTTGGAAAAAGAGAGCCCTCGAAATTCGGAAACGTAGAGAGAGAGAGAGAGAGAGAGAGGGGGGGGTAGAGAGACATTAAAAAAGAACGACACGGTGAAAGAGAAAAGAGAGAAAAGGGAATCGCACACAGTGCCCGGCGGCGACGAAAAACACTAATATTCTCGCTCTGCGATTTGCCTCCGGGCAACACAAAACGATAACATTAATAATAGCAATAATTAATAATAATCGTAATAATAAGGAATAATAAATGACAATAAGGGGGGACGAATAATATTAATAGCAATAATAATAAACTCATCGCAATGATGACAAATAATGATGACAGATCCTATTGTCGTTTACAATAGCGTTTTTGTTTCGCGATACGGTGTATTCGTTCGAACGTCGCAATAATGTAGCTACAACCTCTCGACGTCGCCATAGATTCTCTCTCATATACATAGACTTTGTATTTATATATATCTATATTCATTTATATATATATAGCTTTCATTTGTGTATATATATATATGTGTGTATTTATGTATACTTACTCTTTATACAGAAGGGGTTTTTCATTGCGAGGGGATTCTGCTGTCGCTAGGATTCGGCACACGTTTTTTCCCGACACGCGCGTTTTTCCCCGTTTTTCGCGAACGCGCGTGTCACATCCCTCTTTTGCAATCTGTGTGTTCGTCTGTTTTTTTTTTATTCGTTTACTTTGTCGCGTCGCGTCGTTCCCTTCAAACTTCGTTCCTCCGGTTCGGTCCCTCGATCGAACCCGTTCCACACGACGGCAATGTAGACGACAACGACGACGATGCGCGCTCTCACTTAACTTATTAGCTTTATCTAGTACATTATTTACAGTCCATATTTACTTATTTTACATGATCCGGCGAGAACTAATCCCGCGCGGATGTACCGCTCTTCGCCTCTGGCTCTATCTTTATATTTTCTTGTTCTCCGCTCGGTACGGCCAAGTACGTCCGTCGGCCTTCGAAAATTCACAAACAGCGTTCCTTACACTTTTCTTCCCCTTTCACCGTTTCGTTCAAACGCAACGAAAACAAGAACGACGACCACGACGAAACAGCGTAGTACTGCTGCCGTTCTTCCAAGGAACTGGACCGACTTATACACTTTTCCGACACCGGGATATCACGCGCTCGATTCGTTTGATAGCAAAGGGGGGTGAGAAACAGTTCTCGTTGGATCCTGCTGCGGCTGTGACGACGACGGCGTTGGCGTGTATCCCTGAGATGATTTGAGCCGATCCGAGGCGATGATTAAACGCGGCTTTGACGGGCGCGATTGCCGCGGTTTGTCTCTTCTCGCGCCCGTAAATAAGAGCCTCCCCGTTAGCGGGCTTCTGACTCCTCGGCCTCAACTGTACCCCGTTGAACCTCGTCGTCGGAGACGAAGGTTGAGCTCGGCAAGGGTGGCGCACGATCACGATCACAATCACGACGACGACGACGCTATTTATCGTCAATAGGTCTGGTCGAACGGACTAGGTGCTCGGAACGCGTTAAAGGCGGTAACGCGGTTACTACGAGCTGGTCGAGTAGCTGCCCGTGCGCGCCTGCAGATAGTGATGATAGAACGGAGGGAGCGTCTCCGGCGGCGAGGAAGCCGGGTTGTTCACCGAGTTTTGTGAGGTTATCGAGAGGCCCAACGGGGGAGGCCCCGGCGAACGCTAGTGGGCCGCCAACGAGTGAGCCGTGAGGCCCTGAGGACTGAGCATCGGGGGACTATGGCTATGGCCCATCGGCGATCCGTGGAGGTGATCCTGCGGATGGTAACTCTGATGGAGGCCAGGCTGGCCTTGGTGTCCGGGCGGCACGCCCTCCATCATGCTGTCGCCGAGCGTGTTCGGCGGCGTCATCCTCTTCTCCTTTTGTCGTCGGTTGCAGAACCACACCCTGACCACCTCCTTCTCGAGCTGCAAGCTATCCGCGAGCGTGGTGATCTCCTGCGCGGACGGTTTCGGTTGCTTGTGAAAATGTTGCTCGAGCGCTCCTTTAACCGACACCTCGATCGAGGTGCGTTTCTTCCGCTTCCTGCCCTGAGCGGCGATCTTGTCGATGCTCGTCGGCGATCCGGTCGTCGAATCCGCCTCCTCAAGCCACTTCTGCAGCAGCGGCTTCAGCTTGCACATGTTCTTGAAGCTCAGCTGTAGAGCCTCGAACCTGCATATCGTCGTCTGCGAGAAGACGTTGCCGTAGAGAGTACCGAGCGCGAGACCGACGTCCGCCTGGGTGAAGCCCAGCTTGATGCGCCGTTGTTTGAACTGTCTCGCGAACGCCTCGAGGTCGTCCGACGTCGGAGTGTCCTCCTCGCCGGCGCTCTGATCTCGGTCGTGCGCGTGGCCAGGGTGCAGCGAATGGCCAACCGGCGAGCCCGGGTCCCTTAGGTTTGGATGCAACCCGGTCTGATGATTATGCAGCTGGGGATGGTGTTGATGGGGATGCGGGTGCAGCATGCCGTTCATCGCCGCATGGTACTGCTGTAGGGTCGTCGGCGAGGCCGCGCCGCCGCTCGGATTGTAGTGTGCCGACGGTACCACCGGCGCGTGCCAGGAATGCGGGGATCCCATCCCGGGCGATTGGTGAGGCCCGCCGCGATGCTGGTGCATCGACTGTTCGTTCGCGGCCGCGGCTGCAGCGGCGGCGGTCGCGGCCGCAGCCGCCAGCGGCTTCACGTCAAGCCCGGCATTCGTTTGGTGCGGATGATGGTGAGGATGATGACTCGTATGGTGCATGCCCATCGAAGTCACCCAGTGATCACCGCTCGGTTGCAGGCTCACCCAGGGGTTCGCCGACGAGAGGTTCGCCGTCGGATGTGACAACCCATTAGGCGACGGAGACGACGTCACTTGATGATGGTGATGATGGTGTTGGTGATGATGCGGCGCCGGCATGTATTTCATCTCCCCGGCGTCGGCGGCGCTGCGGGGCGAGCCCGAGGAGTAGCCACCCACGGCGATGTTCATCCCGATCGCGGTACCCGAACCACCATCCAGGTCGGACGACACTGCGCTACTAATCGGCATGTACGTGGTAGCGGCCATCTACTTCCCCTCGTGCAGAGGTGTCGCGAAACCCTCTTTTCCGTTTCTGAATCCTTCAGGGCTGCCCGTTCGGGCACCCTTACTGCCTCCTTCTTCTCTTCGTGACTCCTCTCCCGGCCTCGTTCTCTCTTTGCCCCGGATTTCCTACCTTATTCCTCTTTCTCTTCCTCTTATTCTCACTGATGTTCTTCCGACGTTCACTCGAGTATATCCTCGAGACCACCCGTTCCACCTCGTTATCTTACAAGTTTCTCGGCCGATATTCGATGATCACAACAGGCTGGAACAGAATCACTTGCGTTCCTTTCGGTCCTCGTTACAAACACTGTCCGGTCCTACCGCAGTCGAGTCGATTACCATCGACCACACTTGTAAGCTAGCGCACAGTCCATCGTTCGCGGCTATACACCAAATTCCAAATAGATGACATTGTTTGACGCGCGAAAGACTCGTTCATAGCTTAACCAACTCGTACGTTGTATCGAAAACCTGCGTAAGCTCATTTCCTCCTCCGGGGAGGATCCCCACGGAGACGTACGTTATCACCACTACCTCCGTCCAAGATTTTCGTCTCCGTTGTTCCGTTCGAACTGCACAAGGCACACCGGTGTAGCTCGACCCGAAATCCTAACTGAGAATTCGCGTGCTGATGAGACGGTGCAGGTATCACTCGCGATCACTGTGCATCGCGGTGCGTATCATCACAATCGGCGACGTCGGGGGTGACTACCCGAGGACTGGCACGTCCGCGAAGGGTGCGCGGCGCGAAGACACTCGCGGATTCTCGTCCGGCGAACGCGATAGCAGCGGCCCGTTGATTCACGAGGACGAGTGCCGAGGCGAACGAGCACGATCACGGTAAGAGAGTAAAAGCCTCGGCCCGCCGTTCCTGTCGCTGTACTAAGAGCGCTCGCGCGCTACTGTGTTTTCCTCGCGCGAGTATGTGTACGCGCGAGCGAACTAGCGAACGAGAGGGAGAGAGAGAGAGAGAGCAGCGGCAGCGACGACGACGGCGACGACGACGAGCACGGTACGGACTCGGAAAAGATCTCGCTCGGGCTCTCTCATGCGTTATGCATGTCGTAGCTGAGAGCGACTGACTGCCTCGCCTCGCAGCTTGCTCGAGGTTCCCGAGGCTCCCGGAGCTGCTCGGTGGGACCGAGTCATGCGCGCCAACATCCTGCACATCCCCACTGTGAGGTGCCATTCGCTTCACCATTGGCCCCGCTAGCAAGGTGGCCGTCGACGAACGTCACCGTCGGGCGGAACCCGAACTGACCGCGCCTCCGAGGCGTCCTACGCACCCCAGGCGCCACTGCTTTTTCACCCCTCACCCCTCGGACTCGGCCGGTACCCATCCGACTCCGAGCCTCCGCTCGACTACCTTTGCTAGCTGACGTTCACGCCACGAGCGCTCCTCTGCGCCGACATCGAGCGAGAACACTTACTGCGGAGCGGACCTCGAATCCTTCCGTACTTCCTAAACATCTCGAGACTATTTCATCGTTTACTTTACTGTATCCTCTTATACTCGTATCTTATCAAACTTTTCACTTCCTTCTTTTTTCATTTTACCTCTGTTTCGTTACCATCGGGATCTTACGCTTCGGTTCATAAAAATTAGTTTGAGATTTCGCGGGACACGCAACAGGTCCTAGTTTAGTATAACATTTTAAACATAGTTTCAAGACTTGCAAGTACTGCAATTTAAATAAAAAGATTCAATTTCAATCAACAGGTGCATGCATCATTGGCAATCGAACCCGTTCTTTCTTAAAAAAAAAGAGACTTCAAGATATCGCATCGATCAACACAATCGTATTCAACAGTCAACGTTAAATACGGGTGTGATTAATTAGCGAACGGGTGTCGGGCCCGATATGGCCCCGAGGGGGTGGCATTGACAGGGACGGAACGGATAAAAAAGACATGTTTCGCTGCGCGCAAAGCAACTGCCGGCCAAGGGGGAGAGGAAGCCGGAGGGAGCGAGGTTTAGTACATTTAAATGAGAGCCACAGGTAGCAGCATTATGCAGTACGTGCCAGCCACCCCTCGGGAGGGGTGAGTTAGATCATCGCGCGCCGGAGATCTCCTCGTGTCGTACCGTTTCAACTATCCAGCTGGCTTCGCGCCTTCGCACCTGTGTGCCAACTCCTCTCTAATCACCGATGTTCAAATTGTCGTTTTACTTTCCTGACGCGATGCGTTTCGTAAGCTTAACAGAAAAATAAGAACGTTGTCCAGCGATACGATAGTTTTCTCCTTGCTAACGGAAGACGGAACCGGATGAAAATTGTGATCGACGAGCGTGCAGCGAAACGCACGCACGTCTCGGGGCTAAACAGCGTAATATCGGCTGACATCGCGGAAGAAGCTCGAGCACACGGACACACGTCGTGGTTCTCCGGCTAAGTATACGGCCGTGGTCCCACCGAAGCTAGGAATTTCGAGCGCACCACCGCACCGATGCCAATTATGTTCTCGGGTCTGTCATTTACGCGGCCGGTCATTATACGCCGCCCGTCTCGCTCCGGAATTACGAGCATCTTAATGCGAGCCCCGAAATTATCGCTTCTTTGCCAACTTTATTACACGCGCGGCGGCCCGCGATTCCGCGACGCAGACCATCTTTTAACGATCTTCCCTCGTTTCCCGTTTCTCGCGGGCGCGGATCTTAATTCGATTTCGCGGAGACCCGTACCGGGGCAAATTGGATCGAACGCGGCCCTGAAATATTTGCTTAGGACCACCGACAGGTAAGCGCGCCGCAAGGGGTGAAGCGAAGGCCGCAGTGCAACAGAGATAAACGATGGAAGCGACCGGCAATTGCCAGCTACGGCGAAAACGCTTTACTACCTGAACGTTTGCTTGCATAACTTACTCGCTCTTTTCTTACACGTCAGGGGCGCGGCACCTTGTCAACCTTCGCTGGGGTGCGAAAACATTTGTATCAAACACCGTACGCGTAAACCGTTCTGGGCGCCGGTTTTTACTATCAGCATGCGCTTCCGTTTCTCAAAATCATTGCGCAATTTATTAATTTATTAAGACGTGTTTCATAATAAATAAATGTAGTATTGCAAACGATATGAAAAAGGTGTCTACGCGCTGCTATAGACACGGCTCACTAAAAAGGAATAAGTCCCATTTGAAGGCTCGTGAAACCAGTCGTTCAGTGTTTGCGGTAGGTCGTTGCAAACATAAAAAAGCAGCTAGCTCACGACCCCCGTACATGTGAATGGTGGAAGCTAACCGACGTAATTTGGCCGGCTTTATGCCTCGATTGAATATTTGAATATTTTAATATGAAATGTACGCCTTGGGATTTTGTTCCCCGTAACTTTTTCCAGGGTTTTCCCTTCGGAGATCAATTTCCAAAAGTAAATTGAAAAAGGAATAGAAGAGGTTGATTCGGTGCGGAGCACTGGTAGAGGAGTACTCGGAATGAGGAAGTCACAGCGGGGATGAGAAGTTGTTAATCAGATGGCAGCAGCGCGCAGCCCTCGTAGGGATAGCCACCCTTGCAACTCGCAACCTTTTCGTAAGGGGTTTTTCAAACGATCGTGGCAAATCCGGTGGTAAGCGTGCTGCCATCGCACAGAATCCGACGAAACTACTTTTCCTGGAAATGGGATGACCGACCGAGAGCGCGGAAAACTTCAAACACGTTTTATATGAAAGTGGAGACGAGGCGACGTGCGAAAAAAAGTATTGGAACGGTCGTTTAGCGCTTCGTCGATTTCCCCCTCGTCAAGCGAAATCGATGACTCGCGCGTGGAACGATGCGAGGAGCGCGAAGAAATATGTCAACGACGATGGTGGGGGAAGAAGACAATGGTTTTATTTACAGCCGAGGAGCCGCGAGCTGAATTTCAATTAACTATCAATCGACGATTCGTTTTCGAGGATCCGGCCAGTCTTAATATCATTTTTTATGCGAGCATTCTTTCGACAATCAAAGCTTCGCCGTGCCGATCGTTGGCCGTCCGCAACGATTGACTGTCTCGGATCCCCGTCGTCGCAAGCGACTCCGGGAACGAATTAAGCTTGTCCGAGATTCGATTAGGGCGGATCAAGTCCCGAGCTAACTTCGTCGACCACGATCCTTGGCGAAACTCGCACGGGATTCGCGGTGCCCGCGAATTTGCGTTTGAAATCGACCGTTCGGGGACACCTTCGAGAACCTTTGGACCTGCAAACTAATCGCAACACCCTTCGAGGCCCGTGTAACTCCAGGAAACTTCCTCGAACAAGGCGGGACAGCACCCAACGATGTTACAAGATTTCGTTCAATAATTGTTCCATCGAAAGTAGAATCAGACATCGAACACAGAAAATCGAATCTCGCACGATTCATTATTGAACTGCGGACTATATCGTCGCGTAAAGCAAAGCCTCGATATTTTAGACGGAAGAACGTAAGTTGAATTTGATAAAAGATGAAAGCTCGAGCGAGGCCTGCAGGCTGATTCTACCGTCGCAGAACGGAAGAGCCGAAAGTTTCGCGAGATAACGATCGAACCCTGAAATATGCACCACGCCAATTTGCCGATCAAAATTATTATTAAGAGGTACCTCTGGCGAAAGAGCCTGGCGAGAGAAGTCGGGGGAGAGAGGACGGGGAGGAGGAGAGAGAACGGAACGCCCTTACCACCGTCACATACACACCGAGACTGGCTTCTCGTTTTGCAGCGTCAGGCTGTAATATTCGATGTGCGAAAATCGCAAACAGGCGAACAGAGACGAGAAAGAAAGAATCCAACATTCCTGACGAATCATAGTGGAGTCAATTCACTCCGCGTCCCCAATTCTGAATCAAGACAATGTGCAATCTTTATCAATAACACGAGAGAAAGATCAAGTTCTTGCAATGCATGTTCGTAAAGATATTTTCATAACTTAAGAAGCATGTATCGTAAACCGTGGGTGAAAGTCTACGTGGAGAGGAGAAAGATAAGAAAAGGAGTAATAGCGAAGAAAAGGGGAGAGGAGCTCGGAAGAGGACGGAGAAGGAGCGAAGGAAGAGGAAAAAATAAGTGGAAGAGAGACCGAGGTAGGCTGGGGGTCTAAGCCTGTAATCACGAGATTGCCAGGAGCTACTGCAGCTGATTGTTATCTTGTATCTACACCCACCACTTTATCGCCGGCCATCTTATTATCCTGGACATATTGACGTCACGCACGTACACCAAGGAAGATATACCCTCCTGCCCGGTTCCTCGCAAGACTCGTTCGCCGTCCTTCATCCCCGTCCGGGGGTGAAACCGTTTCCTGGTGAAACGATTCGAAAGCCGACGGCCATTGGTCGCGAGTTAACTCCCGGGGACAGTTCTTAATCGGCTGTCCCTTAAACCTGTCGTCGCGCTTCTCACTTGTACTCGGAAGATCATACGTTTCGTTTTTCTAGCCAACGACCAAGTTCTTTCTCTCGATGCACAGAACTGTTAGATCGTTCGAATGGAATGCATGTTTGATCGATTTCGTGTGAAACGGCACGAGCCTCGGGAAATCGAAAATTTGCCCGACGTCTTCAAATAACGGACTCGCGAATCTAGCGTTAGGATTCCGATTGATCGTGCGCTATTTCTTAAGATTTCTTGACGCCAACCAGCTCGTAAGCCACGTATTTACGGCATGCCCGCGGATACGGTTACAAGTGCGCGAGCATGAAAGTTGATCGTATAGATCGAATCTACTAGTCGATACCAACTTCCGCGAGAAGATCGCTTGTCTCGCGCACTGTTCCAAGTCAATTGCAATCTTATGTTAGCAGTATGTTATGCACGTTCAATGTTTCTGCAGTCTAATTATTAAATTAGATCCTATTGCTTCTGGAAATCGGACAGTTACCGATGTCAGATTTTCCGAGCGACAGGCCGAGAATGATTCGGGAACTATTGCGAGATCGATGAAGATGAATTTTTCTCATAGAACGAGCAATCGTTAGAGGATGAAAAGAATAAGCGGCAGGGATGAGAATAGGAGAAATTCACGAACTGCAAAATGCAATTATCGGCATTTGTCCGCGGGGTATCACGATCCGCCGAGGCTGGACCTGCCTTCGAGTGGGTGGCGAGGCTTCTGTACCGGGTGTGTAATCTTATCGTTGATGAAATCCGTGAGCTTATCTTACGAGCATAAGCGAC